TCTACATTGGTAGAAATGGGCCTAAATCGAGCTTAGCCGTGATTCGTGAAACCTCAATCTCTGTATATTTGTGTACAATAATATCTTACATCTCAATCATTCTCCTCCTCGTCGTCGTCGTCGGGCTCTTGCAAATGATCTAATCTAAGCTCCTTGGAGCGATCGACTTTGACCACCGGCCGATTCTGTTTACACGTCCTCTTCGGTTTCTGCCCGATCACGTATTCCGGCAAGATGATCTTGCTGCTCCTGAATATCGGCCTGTCGTCGGGCTCCACGATCGCCGCGACACCCTCCGCCGTCTCTTCCGTCCGTGGCTTTCTGAACGCGATCTGCGACGAGGCGCGTTTCTTGGACTTGAACCGCGTCTCCGTGGGACCCGCCGCGTTTGACACGCAAGGCTCGACGTCCATCCCCTCGTCGACCTCCTCCTCCTCCTCCTCCTCCTCCCTCCTCCGTCCGCTGTCGCAGTTTATTTATATTGCAAACATAAACGCGAGACAAATACAAAATTTGTTGCGCCGTTGCGTCACGACGTTGCGGGCGGTTTATTTGCGATAAAAACGGTATCGAGGGGTATCACTCTATCTGTCACACGTACGAGCACGCCTGGCATTATGTCGTAAGTCTCTCAGCACACACGCACGCGCGGGATCATACACAGAAAGTAACACGTATATTTCTTCGCGGCCCGTAAAACCTACGTGCTACCCTAAATCATAAACTCGCCGCGACGTCTGCGAGGGTACTTTGTCCGATGGACCGTAGCGAAATACATCGCGAACACGCGCGCGCGTGCAGAGTTGTGCAACACAGGTCCCCGGCACGGCGGGACGGCGCGCGGCCTCGGGGATCTGGGAAATTTTGCAAGTGCATTATTTGAGCGGAAATTAGCGCATAATTATTTGCCACGCGTTTCTCTCCCATTACTCCTTGTTAAACAAAATATTACGCGCGCAGTAACTCGGCTAGAGATTTAAGCGAGAAGCTTAAACACGCAATTACAAGTGTCCGCCATTTTTTAACTTTCAATTCTATTTAAATTA